TATAAGCCATGGAGTTTAAGCTACGTGAGAAACTACCATGGTAGTACAAATCATGCTCAAAATAGAAAGTGTTTATGTGACTACCAAGCTTATCAACCAATCCTATACTTCAGATAAAGTAGCCATGGAGTTTAGGCTATGTGAGAAGCTAAATCATGCTCAAAATAGGTGGTGGTATGTGACTACCATCAAAGCAAGCCTATCAACCAACTCTATACTTAAAGTGCTAGAAGTATATTCATAGTTAGAGCAGCTCTAGTGTTGGCCAAAAGTGAACAGTGGGAAGCAAAAGTGAACCGGGAACATTGGAGCAATCGAACGTTGGGTGTTAGAACAAAAAGCATAGTTTGCATACGAGGTGAACTGAGAAGAACAAAAATTCATGCTGGACGTGTTGCCTCTCATCGCTCACTTGCTCTCCCCAACACCGCTCGGATAAAGGTGAATTTTCTAATTCCATTCAGGTGCAGAAGCAGAAGCACACACTAGATCCATCGATTGCACGGTTTGACGCGATGGTGGAGGTGCTCTTAGATGAAGATCAAACTAGAAATCATACCCCTGAACCTGAGTATGTGTCACAACCCACCGCCCGCGGGCCATGGGCCATGACCCGTAACTAGCATCTTTTTTCCCGTAGCCAAAGCAACCTCGTAGTCACTCCCAACCGCTAGTCGTCGTCCCACCGATCACTTGCTGTTGACACTTTTTCGAAACAATATTTGCACTCTATCCTTAAACTCAATAGTCAATATATACTACGTTGCGCTCTATCCATCTCTTACCGATCACTTGCTCTCGACACTTTTCCGAAACACTATTTTGCACTCTATCTCTTAAAAACTCAATAGCCAATATATATACTACGTTGCACTCTATCCATCCCTTATATTCAATAATCGACACGTGGCAACCGTGCTGCCTATACGATATACATAAAGCTATTCTAACTTTGATGTTTCCATAGACCTCTTCTCCCAAACTACAACCCACAAGGCCAGGATCCCAGGCAAGAACCAGCCTCAAGCGTCACCAGGAGAAGGGATTAGGAGAAGAACGTGTGAGAATTAGAGGGAGGGAGAGATCCACAAGGAAGGTACTGGCGTCGCGTACTCCCCCTCTTTATTTTCTCAACACCCCCCCTCTCTCTCTCTCTCTCCTGGCGCTGCGCCTGCTGTGTGTGTCCCCCCTGCCAACCCTTGTCTATTCAGTCGGTTCCCCTCTCCCCCAAGCCAAACACCACCATCCCCTTCCTCCCTTGCCCCTCCTCCCCTCTCTCCACGCCTCCCCTCCCTCTCGCCGCTTTCCCCACCCAATCCGACCGCCGGGCCGCCTCCTCTGCGCCGGGGCGGGCGATTCCCCGGAGATTCCGCGCGATTCGGGGCTCCTCTCGGGGTTTCTCGGCGAATCGCCGGGGATCGGGACTCCCGGCTGGAGGTCAGGCCCCCTCCCCCTCCCCTCCGATCGCTAACCCTCGCTGCTTGCTGCCCGCCGCGTGGGGCGGGGGTTTGCCCGCTTGCGTGCCCCCGGTTACTGCCCGCGCCGCCCTGCCTAGGTGAGATGAACAGATGAGTGAACTTTTTTGCTTCTACAACTGGTGCTGGGTTGGGTCGGTGGGGGAGCGATTCCGTGATCGGGGCGCCGTCTGCTGCGTGTCCATGTCCGATGTGCGGAGTGGGTTGCGGAGGGGTACGCTTCGGGCGCGGGTTCCTGGTGGTTAATTAAGCAAGTTGCTAGTAATTGCACGAGTAGATTTACCTGTTGCCGTTAATGACTCTGTGCTCATCCATTCGCTAGTTATGCTTTGGTTGGGATGGGATGCGTGCCCCCTGTGCGTGGAATCTTCGGTGTGCAAGGAATGGTGTCTGTGGAAAGTAGCATTACTACTAGGACAGAAGAGGGTGGGTTGCTGATGGTGCTAGGAAGTAGATGTTGCGTGCCTTATCCTGTGCTGATATGGACAAAAATAGGATTGACTGGATTGTTGGAGACTTTGGTTTACCCCCAAGCATGTCACTCTAGTAGCAATAGCATACTTCTTGTTTGTACTGAAGTTACAACCAAACTGCAACTTAAGCATCCCTTTGTCGAATGTGCTTCAGTACTGATAACTTTACCGTCTGTAGGTGTTGAGATTAGAATAGCTGTAGAATGTTTTGGCTGCTTCGAAGGCTGGCTGATACTGATTGGGATATCAATCGGTCAATATGCACATTCCTTTTAGTATGTCCTATTACTAGATGAAGTCAGATCATCTTGTCACTTTTCGGTTCAAGTAGTAGCCATAATCACCGCTAACCATTGGTTGTTTCTCCAACTACGTTGGCTGGCTACATTGTAGCACTGCTCTTTTAGTTTAGTGATGCCTGGCACAAGATAGTGTTGTCATGGTTTTGCTTTGATGTGCGCAGCCTAATTTTTGGCGTGCCTTTGATTACTCTGTGGGATGTGCTGCCAAGCAATCAGATAATTCTAGATTGACAAGGAATCATATCTTCATACCTTCCGATATGAAGATTACAACAACAACAACAACAACAACAACAAAGTCTTTAAGTCCCAAACAAGTTGGGGTAGGCTAGAGTTGAAACCCAGCAGAAGCAATCAAGGTTCAGGCACGTGAATAGCTATTTTCCAAGCACTCCTATCTCAGGCTAAGTCTTTGGGTATATTCCATCATTTCAAGTCTCCTTTTATTGCCTCTACCCAAGTCAACTTCGGTTTTCCTTTGCCTCTCTTCACGTTACTATCCTAACTTAGGATTCCACTACGCACCGGGGCCTCTGGAGGTCTCCGTTGGACATGTCCAAACCATCTCAACCGGTGTTGGATAAGCTTTTCTTCAATTGGTGCTACCCCTAATCTATCACGTATATCATCGTTCCAAACTCGACCCCTTCTTGTATGACCGCAAATCCAACGCAACATACGCATTTCCGCGACACTTATCTGTTGAACATGTCGTCTTTTCGTAGGCCAACATTCTGCACCATACAACATAGCAGGTCTAATCGCCGTCCTATAAAACTTGCCTTTTAACTTCTGTGGTACCCTTTTGTCACATAGGACACCAGATGCTTGGCGCCACTTCATCCACCCTGCTTTGATTCTATGACTAACATCTTCATCAATATCCCCGTCTCTCTGTAGAATTGATCCTAAATATCGAAATGTATCTTTCCTAGGCACTACTTGACCTTCCAAACTAATATCTTCCTCCTCCCGAGTAGTAGTGCCGAAGTCACATCTCATATACTCAGTTTTAGTTCTACTGAGTCTAAAACCTTTGGACTCCAAAGTCTCCCGCCATAACTCTAGTTTCTGATTCACTCCTGTCCGACTTTCATCAACTAGCACTATATCGTCCGCGAAAAGCATACACCAAGGGATGTCCCCTTGTATGTCCCTTGTGACCTCATCCATCACTAAGGCAAACAGATAAGGGCTCAAAGCTGACCCTTGATGTAGTCCTATCCTAATCGGGAAGTCATCCGTGTCTCCATCACTTGTTCGAACACTAGTCACAACATTGTTATACATGTCCTTAATGAGCCCGATGTACTTCGTTGGGACTTTATGTTTGTCCAAAGCCCACCACATAACATTTCTTGGTATTTTATCATAAGCCTTCTCCAAGTCAATAAAAACCATGTGTAGGTCCTTCTTCTTCTCCCTATACCGCTCCATAACTTGTCTTATTAACAAAATCGCTTCCATGGTTGACCTTCCGGGCATGAAACCAAATTGGTTCATAGAGACCCGTGTTATTGCTCTCAAGCGATGCTCGATGACTCTCTCCCATAGCTTCATAGTATGGCTCAACTTAATTCCCCGGTAATTAGTACAACTTTGAATATCCTCTTTATTCTTGTAGATCGGTACCAATATACTTCTCCACTTGTCAGGCATCTTGTTCGATCGAAAAATATGGTTGAACAGCTTGGTTAGCCATACTATAGCTATGTCCCCGAGACATCTCCACACCTCGATTGGGATACCATCCGGTCCCATCGCCTTACCTCCTTTCATCCTTTTTAACGCCTCTCTGACCTCAGATTCTTGGATTCTCCGCACAAAGCGCCTATTGGTGTCATCAAAAGAGTCATCCAACTGAAAGGTTGTGTCCGTATTCTCACCATTGAACAATTTGTCAAAATACTCTTTCCATCGATGTCGGATCTCATCATCCTTCACCAAGAGATGCTCCCTTTCATCCTTCCGATATGAAGATTAATGACCAGAAATCTATGGCTCCCTTTGCTGAGTAGCAAATGGGTGTTTTATCCTCTTTGTCAAGTGAGTGCAGTCCGAGGCCAGGATGAAATTTATAGTGGGGTTGGGGCCAATTATTTATTTCTGTATATAATTTTCAACCTGGTACCTTTATCTCTGAGATTTTACTATTAGGCCCATTTTGGTTCCCAGGAATTGAGAGGAATTGGAAAGTAATCTAATAATGAAAAAGGGAAGCACTTTTCTAGATATTGGTTTCAGTTCATGGGATCCAAACAGGTCCTTAGCTATTCGCTAAATTTTCCCCTCAACTTCCTTGGTACGAGTGGCTTCATTTTTGTTGTTGGTTGGCAGATGGCCCTTGTCATTTGTTGTTGCTTGTCACTTTGTTCTCAATGCAATGAGTTCCTTGCATTAGTTGTGATTAATTTTTATATCATGAAAATTTCCCCTGTGTTTGCACTACATATTGTACCAGGACGAATACAATTGTGACCTTGCGTGATAGTTCATGACTCTCATTTTTTAATTCCTTCTCTGCAGAATCCTCCATCTGTTTCGGTAACTGTTTGGAAAATTTTGCGTGGAGATTGCATACCATCACCTTCCCTGAAGTGAAAAAATATATGGCCTGATCTTGGCATTTCATGGGAGGTTTTGAAGATGATGAACCACCCTCAAAACGAGCAAGAGCATCCTCAGTAGAGTCTGCAAGTTTACCAGACTGTTTCTCGTTTTCGAAATCTGCCAATCCTTTGGGAAGTACAATGGCTAGACCTTTGCCTTCCCAAGGGAAAGAAGTTATGGTTGGTTCCAAGGGTGTGATTAAGAAGGAGGAATTTGTTAGGATAATCACCAAAACTCTGTATAGTCTTGGATATGAAAAAAGTGGAGCAGTTCTGGAGGAGGAATCAGGGATTACTTTACATAAACCTATGGTGAATCTTTTCAGAGAGCAGGTGATTGATGGGAATTGGGATAATGCGGTGGTTACCTTGAATAAGATTGGCCTTCAAGATGAAAACATCGTGAAATCTGCGGCATTTTTGATATTGGAGCAGAAATTCTTTGAACTTCTAAGAAATGACAATGTCATGGGCGCTATGAAGACTTTACGATGTGAGATCACACCCCTTGGTGTTAATAGAAAAAGAGTGCATGAACTGTCGACTTGTATGATTTCTTGTTCTCCACAGCAGTTGTTCCTTGGTTTTTCAAAGCTTGGAATTGATTCTTCTAGTTCTCGGTTGAAGCTTCTAGAGGAATTGCAAAAGGTGCTCCCTCCAACTGTTATGGTGCCAGAGAGGAGGTTAGAAAATTTAGTTGAGCAAGCACTTACTGTACAAAGAGATGCTTGCTATTTCCATAATTCTGTTGATGGGTTGTCACTCTACATTGATCATCACTGTGGGAAAGACCAGATACCATCTCGCACGCTACAGGTAAAAAAGGCTTGCAAATCTGAAGTCATGATCCAGCTTTATAGCATGTAGACCTCTTAAGCTTCCTTCTAGCTTCCCCCTTGCTCTATCTCCCTCCTTGTTCTCCCCACTTCTCACCATCTGTTGCCAAATGATAATTTGTATAATTCAGTTCACTGCAGAGGTATTTTTTCCTGAAAAAAGGTTAGATAAGAGCTGAGTGCCACTCATCTTTGCACTTTACAAAAATATTCTATTAGCTGAGGTTATGTTTTCTTCGTTAAGAAACCATTCTTTCACTCTCAGGAAAATAAATAGAAACTTGCAACTTGTGTTGTGTCGTACTTTGGTTTTCACTTTTATCTGGATGTGAAAAGTTAGATAATTTGGTTATCAAGACTTTTTTTTCCTAGTAGCTGCATATCTTGATGCTTTGAAATTCACAAGTAAAAAATTTGTTGCAGGTTTTGCATGCACATCATGATGAAGTGTGGTTTATCCAGTTTTCAAACAATGGGAAGTATTTAGCCTCAGCGTCAAATGATAAATCTGCAATTATATGGGAGGTAAACTTGTGAACCTGTGCTTCTAAAGTCTTCTTTTCTCATGGTCTGCGTACAAATTGGGTGGCCTGTTCCTTGGTTCCTATTTTAAATCTCATGTCAAGAACTGAACTTGTCCAATCTTACTAATGCTTTTCATCACCTGTTCTTTATGTTTTTACCAAACGTTGACTTTCAAATCCATAGCTATTTTCAAAACGAAGACAGAAGGTTGCCATTTCATATTACATTTTTTCCGCTGAAAGCCTACTGCTTATTACTCCCTCGGTTCCAAATTATAAGACGTTTTTGCTTTTTCTAGATACATTGCTTTTACTATGTATCCAGACATAGTGGTATATCAAAAGTTCTGTACTCCCTCCGGTCCAGTTTATAAAGTATCTTCCAACATGGCACGGTCTCCTAAATTACACTTTGACCATTCATCTATTTTGTATTATATTATTTGTGGTTATAAATAAACTTATGATTATTGGATAATACATTTGATTACAAATCAAATAGTATCAAGTTTGTTTTACAATGGTTAAAAATTCAGTCAAATTATAAGTCAAAGATTATATAGTTTGACTCTTGACCTACGCGAAATGCCTTTTAAACTGGACCGGAGGGAGTATCTAGAAAAGTCAAAACATCTTGTAATTTAAAATGGAGGGAGTACATCTTTGTAGCTTCTGGAACAAAGTAAGTTCAATTTAGATGTTTGCCTAGTTTGCTCCCTAGCTTGAATCCTGGCACTTCTCTATGTTCTTGTTGAACATGAAAGTGTCTGTCCCCACCATCTTACAATTGCACTTCAGTGAAAGTTGGGTTGTAATGGTAATACAGGTAGAAATTTTGGTCGTGTAATTTGCTACTGATAAAGGAGGCTTTAGTTTTTACTTCTGTTCTGTTGTTATTGACCATGCTATGCGGTTTACTTTCCCTCTTTTTCATTTATCTCTTCATGAATTAATCTTTTCATTTCTTAGGTTGATGAAGATGGAGAGCTATTACTGAGGCATACATTGAATGGTCATCAGAAGTCGGTGATGATGGTTGCATGGAGCCCTGATGATTGCCAGCTGCTCACATGTGGGCAGGAAGAAACCATCCGACGCTGGGATGTCGAATCTGGCAAATGTCTTCATGTTTATGAAAAGCCTGTTGGTTTGATATCATGTGCTTGGTTTCCAGATGGAAAGCAAATATTGTCTGGTCTAGCTGATGAAAACTTTTTCATTTGGGATTTAGATGGTAACGAAGTAGATTGCTGGAAAGGGCAGAGATCAACAAAAACATCTGATTTTGCTGTAGCAAAAGATGGAAATCTTATAATAAGCATGAGTAGGGAGAACACAATTCTTCTATTTGATAGGGAGACAAAACAAGAGAGGTTAATTGAAGAGGCTAGTACAATTACTTCATTTTCTCTATCAGAAGATGGTGATTTCCTGCTTGTAAATCTTGTAAGCGAAGAGATTCATTTGTGGAACATAAGAAATGATCCTGTTCGAGTCAACCGGTACAATGGCCATAAGCGCAACCGGTTTGTGATAAGGTCTTGTTTTGGCGGATCTGAGCAGGCGTTCATTGCTAGTGGGAGTGAAGATTCACAGGTATGATGATTGCCTTGTGACCCACCTAATGGCTATAGAACTAATATTATGTGTGCACCTACCTTTTGTTGTCTATGTGTGCTGTTTTTATTAATATGCACTGCTCCTAGACAGACGCTGTTCTAGACAATTACATTTATTGTCAGATGAGTCCAATCTAATGGAGAATGCAGCTGACATGTTTGTCATTTGAACCATCCTCATTGCATTACATTATTCTTTTCTATATGATAAAACATTCAAACATCGTGCGACACGGAAATCATTGGTTAACTCAGACGCCCTTGCAACTGGAGCCTATGTCTAGGACGGTCTCAGATTTATTATAATTTAATATGCTTGCTTAATTGCTTATATCTGTCTGCACATGCTAGTTTCCACCACTTTTCTTCTATAGTTTCATACATTCGGCATGCAGCATATTTGTTGTCACTTTCTACCATGTATTTTGACCAAATCATGCTGCTGATTTATTTTTAGGCTAGGAGATGCCAATATGAATGTTATAAAGATGTTGAAATTATCCGTGTTTTTCAGCTGATTGCCTTTTCTGATGAACCATTATACTTCCAAGGGGTGTAATGGAGGCATGTAGTGATGGCATCCATATATCTTGTAGGCAGTAGAAAATATGATACCTTGGATTTCAGTAATAAACAAGTTAAAATGATACTCCCCCCTTTCAAATTGTTGTTTTTGCTTTTCTAGATACATTGTTTTTACTACGTATCTAGACATAGCTACCTAGCAAAGTCAAAACGACTCATGATTTGAAATGGAGGGAGTACATCTTAAAGTTGCATTGGGAAACATAAGATTTAGCCTTTGCAATGTCTAGAAGGCCTGCGGTTGGTTGGTCCAGCCACACGATTCATTGCATATTTTCTTTTGTACTCTGCAAGGTAATAATGTGCAAGACTTGTCATGTTTCCAGGTCTACATATGGCATAGAGCCACTGGTGATCTCATTGAGACTCTTGCTGGTCACTCGGGCACAGTCAACTGCGTAAGTTGGAACCCTACGAATCCCCACATGCTCGCATCAGCTAGCGACGATCACACAGTTCGTATATGGGGGGCAAAGAAGGCCAGTCTTAAGCGCAAGGATGTTGGGAGCAGCAACTGCAACAGTAACGGTTTCCACTCGAATGGCAATGCTCATGGCAATGGTTTCGTTCACCAGTGCAATGGGAACAGCACCAAATGATTTGCCAGGGCAATGTATCCCCATGGAAGGGCGGGCCTGGTGCAAGCGGTAGAGTCTTACCGTCTATGACTGGAAGGTCCTGGGTTCGAATCGTGGTCTCCTCGCATTGCACAGGCGAGGGTAAGGCTTGCCACTGACACTCACCCCGCACAGAGCGAGAGCTCTGTGCACTGGGTACGCCTTTTTTTTTTAATGTATCCCCATGGATGGTTGACTGGCATCTGTAAATCCCCCTTTCCTTTTACTTCCCTCCTGGAAGAAGAATCGCCACCACCATAAGAAAAAAAAGAGAAAAAAAGAAAAAAACAAAGCTGCAGCACAAAGTGTGGGGAACCTGCTGGGTTTCGTGCGCCATCTTTCCCTTCCATCATGACTGTCATCACATTTATTTCTTAATTCAAGCTGCGATGGAATTATGATATTGCTTTTGCATCTTTCATATCTTGATTTACCCTCCCAGATTGATTGTAACTGCATTTTGGTGGTGATGGTGGTTAATTCCTCTGATTGCATTTTGCCTTGAGAATAAACAAATGTTGGCCTAGGATGCCCCGTCTAAAAAATGAGAAAATGAGATAGAGCGTCTTATCAAAAATTTAAATTTAAGTAGATTCAATTATTTGGTTCAAGGGATCAAGTGGTTTGTTTGGTTGCCATATTATTCCTTGTAAGCAAATATCTAGTGTAAATGCAAATGCAAATTTCGAAGATTTCTCAAACCAAACAACTAACCAGTGTTCTGGCATCATTGACATACTTCCTTAAAAATAAAAACTGTTGCATTTGAAGATATGGAAGTTAGAGGGCAAGGGGAGGGGCATTTAGGGTCTGTTTGGTTAAGCTGTTGAGAAGTTGAGTTTTAAAAATGAAAAAGTTGAGTTATGTGGTGTGAAAAAAAGTTGGGCTGTTTGGTTAAAATAAATGTAAAACCAATCATCATCTCTATATCTCTCTAGAAACAGTTGTAAAACATCTCTTTATTTAGGTGTATGCTTGTTAAAAAGTGTTGTGAAACGGTGTCTGCTCACCAACAGACATCTCTCCACTGATGATCTCATTTATGGACAATTAGGATTAGTAGTAGATTAGCAGTTAATCCCGTCACCAAGGGGCCTGTCCTTTGGTGAACGGTTGTCTCTTGGAGACACCCCTCAAATGTATATAATCCATTTTACAGATCAATGAAAAGCAGTTGTTCTAAAATCTTGTTCATTTTTCATTCACTTTCAACACGTTAGCAGCATTGCTCTACTGGACAAGAGAAAGAGAACGACGACGACAGAGGCACATGCCTCTGAACCCCCATCGGTAAGCATGGCAAGGATTGACTTACCGTCGCATGTTGTTCGTCAACTGTTCTTCGCCCTTCGCCGCGTCGGTGGAGTTCGCCGTGGCCCGATCCGCCACCACGGCCACCATAGACAACGCCGCAGCGTCTTCGAGCGCCTTGGGCCTCGTGTTCGCCACGACAGTGCCCATGGTCATGGCTATGGTCCTTTTGGCCGCCTCTTCGACTCCACTGTTCGTGGCTTTCGTTCCAATACGGTTCCTCGCCGCCGATAGATTCCTGTTCGTGGCCGCCATGCTTCTCCTCCGCGTGATCTTCGTCTGCAGAGCCAACCACCATCTCCTCGCCTTGGCTTGGACGGTGCCGGCCCCAGCAACGCTGCGCCACCAGTCCAGGAAGCCCTGGCGCCACCAGTCCAGGACCCCCCAGTGCCACTAGTCGTTGAAGCCCCGGCGTCGTCCGTTGATGAAGTGGTTGTCGAGCCCGTCGCTGTCCCCGCGCGGAGGCTGTGGCCCGCATGAAGGAGCAGGCTCTCCCGGCGGCTCCTCCATCTTCTACTGAGGGCAGTGCCACCACGCCCCACACGATTCGCCGCCTCCTTGGCCGTAGGGTGGCCGCCGTGGACAGGCGCCCGGGGATCCGTCGGGGACTTGGAACCCGGCCGTGCTCGGCCTCCCGTCGGCGGAGGTGCTCAACATGGTTAGCGGCAGCAGCGGCTTCTACTCCCCCGACGAGGGGGAGTCCTCGATCTGAAGATGGTGAGCACGGGCGGCGCAGTGGACAGGAGCGGTGAGGTGGTTTGCGACGGCGGCGGTGGTCTCCGAAATCGGCAGCGGCGGCGAGCGGTTAGGGTTTCAACCCTAACTGCTGATTGGCCCCCTTTTATGGGGCTGCTGCGCGCGACATGGGCCGACCCAAGGCCGGTGTCCTGCCCTCCTCCACTCTCTGCGCCTGCCCGAATGGGCCAAGCTGGGCCCAAAATCAAAAATGGGTTCAATCTCATTTCAATGGCCTGGCTGGCTCCTTATCTTTTTATTTATTTAATTTCAGCATTAATTCGTATAAGACTCTGTTAGTCTCTTATAATTATGTGCTGTAAAATTAAGTACTCTTGTGTTTAGTCGCTGACTTTAACTATAGTTGTACTTGTGATATTTTATCATTGTAAAATATCCATTTATGATATTATTCAAAGTATTTGTCCCTGTATGTATGGCAAATCCAATAAATAATATCCTTGTTATTACGACCATGATCTTGCAAAATATTTATTCACTAATCAATTTTGCAATTGATCATTTTATTTAAGCCCCTTTTTATGCTTTTTGACTTTAAAGCACTACGCGCTTAAATAATGGATGCGACATTTTATGTATATTTTCTCATCAATTGTATAACGCACATGTTCTCTATTTGTTTGTTGGCCATATATAAGGTAGCACCACTGTTGCTACTGTGGGATCTACACTAAGTAAACACTTAGTGACTATCCTCAACGTGCGTACCCAACATCACAAATGAGAACATTTGGTCTACGTCTTTTCACAAAGATGACTACCATTAATTCGCATTCCTATTGGCCATACACAAGGTAGCACCATAGTTGCTACTGTGGGATCTACACTAAGTCCACAACTTAGTGACTATCCTCAACGTGCGTACCCAATTCGTTTGCGAATTGACTAAGGTCTACATCATTCTTGATGACTACCTTAAGACGTGTTTATACAACTTGCATAATTACTTGGCATCTACTGTTAATACAGACTATGCCCAATTTGAGGTCTACACTTTTATTATGGTAACTACCTCCATTATTTTATTATGCATATGAGATCTTTACACCATTAATAATATAGGATTTATCTTGTATCTATCTTGCATCCCATAATTACAACACACCACAACATTTTAATAACCTAAAATGTTTTGATGGTTTGCCTCGTGTAGGATCAATGACCGTCAAAGAGTTTGATTTGCTTGCTCTAGACGGCCACAATTATCCAACATGGGTTGTGGACGTAAAGGTTAGTCTTGCGTCCCGTGGACTTTATCGAGCTGTGTTACCACCCGAATAGGGTGTTGCACCTCTTGATGATCAACATGTATACACGGCCCTATATCTCATTAGGAGCCATATTTATCCTGATCTTAAGGCTGAATACTTGTTGAAAGAGAACCCACAAAATCTATGGAATTCTCTTAAGCAACGCTATGAACAACAAAAGGCACTTGTCCTGCCTACGGCCAACTATGAGTGGATGCAACTTCGCTTACAGGATTTTAAAACTATGAGTGATTACAACCATGATGTTCATAGGATTTGCTCAAAGTTGCAATTCTACGAGAAAGAACCTATAGATGCGGATAAAATAGAAAATACTCTGTCTACTATGCTTCCCTCTGAAAGGATTCTTCAACAACAATACCATGAAAGGCGTTTCCAGGTTTATTCTGAGCTTATACAAACTTTACTTGAGGCCGAAAAACGTTCTGAACTTATGGTTTGGAATAATCAGCAGCGCCCCGTAGGGTCTGCTCCATTGCCTGAAGTACATGCTTACACTCAGAATAAACCCAAATTTGATGGTGGACTTTCTAAGACCCATCCTTAGGGAAATTCCTAGAAAGGTAAAAAACAACACAGACGCAATAAGAAATCCCAAACTTGTGTTTCCAACAATGGTAAGAACATTTCCAAACACAGGAATGACAAACCTGTGTGTCAAAAGTGTGGTTGTTATAGCCATACTACAAAGAAATGTCGTACCCCAAGTCATCTTGTTGATCTCTACTTAAAGTTTATGGGTCGCAGACGTGCTGCACCAGGACAAAAGTATGAAGCCCACTTCAACATTCGACCTGACACCACCAGGAATGAGGCTGGTTGTTCGCAACAAGTTCCAATAGAACCAAGCAGCAACAACATATGAGGAGGCAAGGATCTTGCTGATACGGGGAATATGATCGTGGAATATACATCCAACGACATATTTGGAGACTTTGGATAGGCTCCCAATCCCTTAGATTCTAATGTCTTTATGTCCTAGTGATTATAATAGTTAAAATAATTTATGTCCTATGTGTTGTAAATATTTAATAATGTCATCACTATTTGGTTTGAATATCCAATAAATGTAATGCACACATTTGATATTCAATAAATAAAGTATGTATTCTATATATCATCAAAGAGTTTCATATCAAATTCTTTATTCATATATAGTTTCTATGGGGGTCAATCTGATGGAGGAGGAATTATGCCTAGTGGATAGTGGTACCACTAATTCTATACTTAGAGAAACAAAATATTTCAAACTCTTACAAAAAGACAAGAAAATGTTTTGACAATCGCCGGGCGCGATGCTACGATAGTTGGCTCTGGTCGTGCCACTATTGTACTCCCCATGGGTACCCAAATTACAATTGAGGATGTATTATTGTATCCTGATTCAAAACGTACCTTGTTAAGTTATAGAGATATCCGTCAAAATGGTTTTCATATAGAAACCCGTGATGACAATGAGGAAATTCTCCTCATTACTAAAAATAGCGGATATGGCAAACGAATTGTTGAGAAAATTCTCTCTTTTCCGTCCGGATTGTACTACACATACATCAAACCTGTACCGCATGTTGCGTACAAGGTAATTTTTCAGAATGTTGACGCATTCAAAATTTGGCATGAACGCCTTGGCCATCCTGGTATAGG